TTTGCCTTTAAGTAACCCAAGCTAATAAATTTGGTTTACACCAAACTGCATGTCAGAGATAGGCAGTATCAGCTGACACTGGTTGAAAATCACCCAGAAACCACAGGAGCTTTTCGGTGGAGGCCTTTGCTCACACCAGTTCACACAGCATAAACGCATTAAAACTGGTTATGCTGGTTTTAAACATGTCTAATTCAGTCTGTTATCAGACTTAGCAAGATCAGTTTGATTAATTATCTCTAACTCTTCATTTCCATTGGAAACACCCTAGCATGACTCCGAAAACATTTTCTGAATCTCTTTTCAATGCAGAGCCCTCAGCTCTCCGCACACGGGCTGGCACCTACACGGCCTCATGCAGCCTGTATCTTAGCTGCAGGCTCCCTTTCCTCCCACGGAGGGTCCTTGGTGGCCTGGGCGCTGGGTGTATAAGGAGGGACGTTGCTCCCGAGGGTCCCAGATGTGTTTAAGGTCTCCTCATGAGGACACACACACCTGGACACAGCTCATTCTGCAGCCTGGTGGCCCTGAGCTCACAGCACTCTGGTTAATGCTGTCAGCGAGCAGCAATAGCTGCACTTATACTGTTAGTTATGGAAGTAAGTGCTTATTTCCCTCGTTGTGGGCATGACCACAGAGGCAATTGGGGTTTTGCACATCCCACAGAGCCCTTATAGCAGGTATCACCCCTGCCTTTCCCTCCTGCTGTTCCTCAAGGGCAGTTTAACCCAAAAGGAGTAAAGACTCCCTGCCTGGCCCTTCGTACCAGTGGGGAGCAAGGAGGGAGTAAAGGGAGGGGGGTACCCTGAGCACTGGCAGGTGCCCTGGAGCTTCCGAAATTCCCCATATTCCCTCACCCAACACTGCTGCCTTGCAGATCTCCATGGCAAGGGTGGCAATGGGGCCTCCTCAGTGTCACTGCAGCCCACCGGCTTCCAAGCGTGCCAGGAACAAGGCAGGGAGGTATTCCTAGATTTCCCGCACAACTGCTGGGTAAACAGAAGGCTCTGCGTGTCAGGGAGAAGAAAACCACAACATCTATTTGGGATTGCAGTCAAATATCCTCGAACTGGTCTTTCAAGGTAATTACATTTGTTTACTGGAACCAAGTATGCGTGTCTCCACAAGACACCTAACAGAAGGGAGGTTTATCTGAAGATCTGCACATATTTAAGTAATGAACCCCCTTTTCCAAAAAAACAGAGGAGGAAAATATTTTTTGCAATGTTGCTCCCTATAAAGTAGCGAGCAATGTTGGACTGAGTGTCCCCCAAGCATTGGTAATGGAGATCTGTGACACGTAATTTGATTTGATTGCTGAACTAGACTAGTTTGGCAGCCTTATTATAGGATGCCACACAGAGCGTGTGTTTATGTCTATTCAGATCTTCTGGGCGATAGTTTTTTGTTTTCTTCTTCTCCCTCTGTGTGTAACAACACAAAAACTATTGGTTTTCTCCAATTGAGCGGAATAAACCAATTGTAAAAAACCGCATAACGGTTAATTGGGAAGCGCAAACGGCCTCAGTACCATGTTGGGTGCCAGCAGGAAAGGAAGGGTGATCTGTTAGCAAGGGGCCTGGGATGGGAAATCTGGATTCAGTTTCTGCTTTTTCCACATACCCTTTCCATGGCAAGAGACAAGTTACTTTATCTATTGCTATCTCAGTTTCTGCCGAGAAAGGATTATATGCTACCTTATTCCACCTCGCGTTTATTTATACTTTTATATATAGCTTTGTTTATGCATTCTTCGGTTCTTTATAGCTGTGAAGTTTTATGGATGTGTTAGCAAGCGTCCGTGCCATGTGCTCTGGAGGAAGGCCTGGCCCTCGTAGGCATCTCAGGATTCTCTTGTATTACAAACAAGAAATTGTAATACAAGAACGAATTAAAGAGCTAGGGGGAAGAAAAGTGTACAACGAAGGATAAAATCTACACCCTTGGAGAGAGTCAGAAGAGTTCTATTTTTTTTTTTTTGCCATGAGCCTGAAAATGCTTGGATTTTTGCACTGTTTAAGGTACGAGAGGTTTATATATCCCCCTAATATTTCCCTCTTGAAATACGCAGCCTCATTTCTCCAGTCCAATCTCTTGCTCTCCCTGTACCAGGCAGACTGCATTTAGTCTTTTGGGAAATAGTTCATAATTCCATGCTTAAATAACTGCCTTTTGATAAAGGCCCAACACAGAGCTCTGAGGATATTTTGTTTTCACGGCCGGCGCAGACAGAGCAGAAAGGATGCTGCCTGCACGCTAAGACACTTGGCCTGAAGCCCACACACACCAAAGGCAAAATAAATAAATAAACATATCAATCAATCTTGACGTCACCAGGAAAAGGGTCACTGCCATGTGGAAGAAGACATCTGGACACTGAAGTCACTGCTCTGGAAGGCTGCCACAGAGCTGTTCACGGGCTCTGCCGCACAATAGCGTGGAATGACAGATATCAAAGAAATCAGAGTGTAATCAATACTCATAGCCGCAGGTTTAAGGAGTCTCAGACCTTCTGCACCCTGTCCGTGCATCGAACTTCTGTGTGATCAAAAGCTGCCCTGATCCCAGTATGGAACAGGAGGATCCTAAGCCCAGCCCATCATCTCGCATGGCACTGGGCACTATAATTTCAGCACCAGCTTTGGAATACATAAAAGCAACATCTTGGCACTAACCTAAAATTACAGTATGAAGGGGAGGGGGACGCTTTCTATAGCCCCGTTACGCTGCCAGGCACACACCGGTTCCCACATGCAGGGAAAAACACCCCAGAAGATGCCCTTACACAGGTACTAATGTCACCCGCATCTACACAGCATCACACACAAAATACTGGGCAGAAACAGCCACTGCAGCTCCCCAAATGTATCTTGCACGCCAAGAAGTTATTGCTAAATGCACTTGAAGGAATATGCAAAATGCTGCGTTAAACCAACAGCAACGAGAAAGGTTTTGAGAGAAGGGGATCAGCAAGGAACGCCCGCAGCGAGGGACCCCCTGAGAGCAGTTTTGGCTGCACACGTGAGCGCCCAGCGCCGCTGCTGCCCATTGTCTGCCCGTCCCCATCCGAGCGCCCTATGGACGCTCCGACGGTCCCGTTGTGACACCGGGACACGCCGCGAGCGCCCGGGCTGCGGAGCCTCCTCTCCGGCCCTGGGCATATGTGAAACGGCCAGAATTAAACCATGTGAAACAGGCAGACTGAAACGCAGCACAGCCAGGACAGTGTCTTTGTTTGCAGAGCCTGGATTCCTTCAAGGCAACATGTTTTTTCAATATCGTTGAATTACAATTTTAGAAATGACCGTGTTAAGCACCATATGCTCAATATGCAAACATTACAGACTGTACATGCAAGCAAACATTGTGGCCTAACTGTATAATAGATCAAAACCCAGCAGAGAACATTAGCAAATGAAGTGCAAATAAATATGTCTATACTACATACTAAGGATTATGGGCAACCTTTTTTTTTTGCCTTCTTCCCGCCCCCCATTATGTTTATTGTTATCAGGTTTTTGTATTCAGTGCCTTAACCTTTGCCTTGGCCTTTCCCTTGTCCACCTGTCCCTGTAAATCTCTATTGAGTATTTCCATTTATGCAACATCTGCCTAGAACTCCCCTCTTCTCCTGAAAACATGTCCCATCTCTAGTGCTGCCAACATTTATTTAGGAGATCAAAATAAAATGATTATTAATTCTTAAAAAAATGCTGCATATGATGAACCCCTGCAGAAAGGGAAGGGAAGGGAAGAGAAGGAAAAAGGGAGGGAAAAAGGGAAGGAAAAAGGGAAGGAGAGGGAAAAGGGAAGGGAAGGAAAAAGGGAAGGGAAGGGAAGGGAAGGCAGCGCCAGCGGCTCTGGTGGCTCCGCTCGCTCCCCTCGCCTCACCGATCTTTTTATTTTTATTTTTTGCAGGACCTGGCGATGTAATTAAGCTCGCTGGGTTCTGTCGTGATCCTCCGTGATCACCACGGACAAATTAGCATTATGGACTACAACATTCTCTGCATCTCCTGGGTGATTTCAGGTTGATAGAAGGGCCTCGAGCGTAAATTTTTGTATTATAAATAAAATACATCCTGTGCAACATGGGCCTCAGTGGAAATCAAGGGTCAAACAAGCGCCAGGGACATGTGAATCCATAAGCAAATGGCATGATGATGCCTCAGTGATGGCAGAAATAGGGTGTTTGGGGCTCCCCTCAGCTCCAGGGTCCCATTTCTGGCTAAAAGCTGCTGGATTTGCCAGCCTCAGCCAGGAAACCCTTTCTGGGAACGAAAGCCTCATTCGCTATTTATCATCAGATGCTGCTGCGCTCCAGGGAAAACAGGAAGGGCAAAGCAGCTTGGCTAATCCCCATCTCAGAAACGCATGCAAATTTTATGCAATTTATTGATTTCCAATTCAATCCTTTTTTTTTTTTCCCTCTAGTCCTTCCGATGCAGGTGAGCGCAGCTTTGCCCCCACACATGCACGCAGCCGGATCGGGAATCGCGTCCTCTCCGCGGCCGAGCCTCATTAGCTGCATTATGGTGGCGTCCGGCGCTATTGTGCATGCCGGGAGCTGGCTGGATTTTTCCATTCAAAGGCAGATCTTGGATTTGTACGGGAGGACTGCGGATTCCTGCTACGTTGCTTTTGGGGTTGCTATTGTACAAGCAGATATTTTAGTCTGGTATTTTAGAAACATGAATAAAGATTTTTAAAAATACAAAACATAGGCATGAAGGCCATCCGCAGCCCTTGCTTATTATCATCATTTTAGCTTTTTTATTTTATTTTTATTTTTTTTTGCCCCCGCTGCTGTTATTAACCTTCAAAACGGCCTGGACGCGTCTTAGGCAGGAGGGGAAGGCAGCTCCCCGCGGCGGAAAATCGCGCGGGCGGGCGCGCTAAGCCGCGGAGACGGTCCGCCCCGCGGAGCCGCCGCAGCCGCCCCCGGCAAGGCCGGAACCGCGTTCGGCTCCCGCTGTCCCCGCGCGGCCTTGGCAGCCGGCATGGTTTCTCCAAAAACCCGATACTTAGTTTTCTTTCAGTACTTTGGCAGTAAATATAGGTAGGTGCGTTGCTCTGTCACTAACCTGCATGCTGGGAGTGAAGCCACAGTCAGGGCGTTTGCTGCTGCTGCCTAGAAGCATTTGAGGATGTTTGGGGTAAGAAAGGCAGAAAACAGGCAAAAAGGTAACACTGCAGCACAGAGAAGGCAGCAAACGTGTGTTATGAGGAGCCATCCACCGGCTCTGTGTCCTGCAGCGCTGCCGATGCTGCGGCTCATCCTCCTTGTCCCCATAAAAACTGTGTCCCACGACTGACGTCCTGTTCAGTGCAACCTGCCACCTCTTCCCAGGGTAATTTGGCTGCCCCGTCATCCCAGCCTCCATGTGAACATGGGGAGCAGCCCTGGGAAGACGTTTTAGATTCGCTCCTTGCTTGCAGGTGTTTATTTTCGTTTCAGATGTTTGGTCCCTGTAGTATGAAGATCCGCGCCGCGCGGCAGCGAGCGGTTGGATAAGGGCTGTTTGCTGCTGCGTTTGGGGTGGGTTTGGTGCACGGCGTGTCCGGCCCTTGCACAGGACACGCAGGTTCCTGACACTCCGTGGACACTCCTGTGTTTGCTTCTCTTTGCAGTGGGGTCATGGGGACACCAACAGATCAGTCACTGCTTGGAGTCCAGAATTACATGGAGGTAGGTCCTGGATGGATATTTTGTCCTTACAGTGAAATTGCTAAGATTACATTGTTGAATCACAGTAACTGTCGGGGATAAATATTTTCCTGACACTGTTTTGAGTATTACAGTATTTCACACTGTACAAACATCTTTTTTTTTTTGTCCTGAGTGTTGCTTCCTCGCGTTCCTCGAGCCGCCTCCGTGCTGAGCTGCTCTCCTCCCAGCTGGTGTCTAAATCCTGGCTAGATCTAGGAATGGGACACTGCCCAATCCCAGGAGCGGGTGCTCTCAGACACGGGAAAACACACGGTAGGATCCGCTGTTCCAAAGGACAAACAAAAAGCAGGAATTTTTTTAAAGGACCGTTTGGTCAGGGATTTCGGTGAGGACCTGACATTAGTTTTTAACTAATCTTTGCCACGTTAGTGCCCAGGTCACATTTGGGGCAACTCGGATCATTGCTGTATATTAATAGCAATCCATCTAATTACTTATTTCTCATGAGCAGACTCTCTAGCCTGAGATAACAGCAGCAGTTTGCAGAAAACGTGTCTCTTGCTGAGAAATGGGTGGAAGTGTTGGGAATTACACCGCGGATAGCAGCTCTTGGCTTTGTATTGGTATTGCTCCTGCCTGAGCCCTTGCAGAGAAAGCTATAAATGTGGTGCAGCTCTTGAAAGAGGAGCCCCGCAGGATTTTCTCCCTTATTTATCTAATCCTCTAAACCAGCCCATGTCTCGGCCCCAGATGCCAGACTTTGAGTGAGACCAGCAGTTGTCGTGCATCGTCCAAGTAACTTTGGTTCAACAAGTGAATAGGTAGGAGGGGATTGAACGGGAAAAGAAGGGAAAAGCAGAAAAAGATAAACGTATTTGGAGTTGTCTTTTCACAGTATCAGCATTTTGATCCTCCCAGCTGCGTGCTGGCCAGTTATGGCCTATGTGCTTTGCTTTCATGTGGTGGGATTGATGCTGGGCACTGCTGAGCCGGGCTGTGTCTATTAGAACCACGTGGGATGTCTCAAAGTGACTTTAATAGAAAACTTCTGGGGCCATAGGAATTTATCTTCCTTCCTTCATTTTTTTTGTGCAGCCTTGAACTTCAGAACAGTCACTTCCAAAGCCAGGAAGGCAGCTGAAAGGAAGGGCAGGATTATATCCGTAATGAGCTCCTTATTCCATTCTGGCATTTGGTTGCAGTTGCAAGCGAGCAAATGAGCTGTGAGGTGCAGCCCTTGTATTTCAATGAGTGGTGTCATTACCCGTGCAATGGGCCGGCTCGTGAGAAGGGCCCCGCCGTGGGATAAGGTGCAGTGCTGAGCAGGAGGGCTCGAACCCTTTGTCACTTAAATGTACATAACGTATAGGGCAGGGGTGGGTTTGTGGTCCCAAGTGCTGCGGAACTGAGTCCTGGTTAATGAAAAGTTGTTGATGGTGATCAACATGTTGATGAAATCTGTATGTCTGAGGGATCTTTTAATAGGCTTTTTGAGAGGGGTGAGCTTGGCAGATGAAATTTCTTGCTTGGAGCAGAACATATTTGTCTCGAAACCCTTGGAACTGCAGCTTATAGGGAGGGTTTCACACCGAAATTCCAGGCCTTGCTTCCCCACATGGCGAAGTTTGTGTCCTGGGACTTGGCTCCATCCAGTGCACGGTGGGAATTCACAACGCTCAGGGTGTGATGATCAGGTCTCAGTATCTCCAAATGCCTCTGCTGTAAAGGGGGGCTCTCCCTGCAGCACCTTTTGCTCAAGCAAGTAGCTGTGACTTGTGCTAAGTGGCCCCATATGTGCGGCCCGCTGGGCTTTGCAGAACTCAGCTCCCTTTCATGCTTGTTTTGAATCCTCTCCCGAGCGAGCTGTTTTCCATTGTGCTGGTGAGCGCTGCCCAAAACTAATCCTCCCCTCACAAAGTTCTCCCCTGGCCAGCGGCTTTGTGCTAAGTCCAGATATTATTCCCCATGAAAGAAAAATGGGGAGCAGGGGAGGAGAGAAAGAGGAGCAGAACCCAGACAAATGCCCTGCACAGCACTGGGAAGAGCCGTCTCCCCAAGAAAGCAGGAAGAAAGAAATGAAAATTCTCCCTCTAGCCCACTCAGCCAGTGTTATAAAGCAAAGGGGAGGGAAATAAATGTATTTTGTTTTGTTTTACATATGTAAGAAGGTCCTGTAGCACTTGGGATGTTCTCTTTAGGATGATTCTGGGACAAAGGATGAGAAGCCAATGGAATAGGAGAAATTCCCCAGGCAGGCTCCTCTCCATCGCTCCACAGCCCACAGCAGTGATTCCTTCTCCATGTGAACACTGAGGAGATGTGATTGGCAAGGAGGAAGGCACTGGGTCCTAGGTAGCTCCTGGTGAGTCCCTTCTCATCATCTTTTCTCGTTTGTCCTACAGAAGGCAGCGCAGAACCTAAAATCCATCATTCCCATCAAGTTCCACATCTCGAGCCGCACGGACACGGGTGTCCACGCGCTCTGCAACTCTGCCCACGTCGACATCCAGAGGGCCCCGGGGAAGGCCCCGCTCCATGCCCGGGAGCTCGTCCGCAGCCTCAACCACCACCTGAAGCCGGAGCCCATCCGGTGAGTCGGGCGCCACGTGCAGGTCTCGTTTGTCCTTGCTGGAGGACATCACTGCAGCAGTCACGTCCTATGTTCATGCACAAGAGAGGTTTTCCCCTGTTAAATATGTTGCTAAGAGTCTTTCTGCCCCTAGCAGACCCTTGGCATCTAAAGAGCCCTGTTGTTCACCTCTGTTTTTGTAGGGGACCTGTGCTGGCACTGCTGAAACACAAAGTCCTGTGGGAGAATTTAAGACCATTTGAGTATTGGTCCCACCAGGTGATGCTGATGCCACATGGGAGCCGGAGCAGCAACATGTTAACTTCCAGGGCCGCTTTATTCCAAAAGTCCTGCCCATTTCTTTTTTCTTTACTTACTGAATTAGCACTTACCAAAAGCTTAGCTAAAACACTGCCCCTTTCCTGTATCTCGGCTAAAGGGTGAAGAACAAATGCATGAGATCACAGTTGGTCTGAGCCGTCTGCTCCTCCCTTCCTGTGAGATCAGCCTCTCCTCAGCTAGACCTACCCCTCGGCCTGCTTTTTGTTAAATCAAAATCTCCATTTTAATATTTTTGTAACAAAAATGTGGGGCAGATAAACAGTCTTTCTCATAACCAGCTGTTAGTACCTAGAGAGACCAGTGTGTTAGTGTGCTGAGGAGCTTGGTGTAACACCTGCAGAGACCAGAACAGCTGCCGTTCTTCCCATTGCCTTTTCTTCTTCCTCCTTTCAGAGTTATTTCTTTTTTTCTGACAGCATCTCAGAATTGGCTTGACCTGTGTGAAGCTGAGTGCTCGCCCTCAAAGCTATCACTGCTGGAAAAAAAATACAGCCCACAGCTTTTGTCAAGTAGTTGCATCAATTCCATCAGCAATTTCTCTGCCCTGTGAATTTTCTGCCTTTCCAAGGGGTGCATTGAACCTCGTGTTTGGTGCTTTTCTTTCCAAACTGCTGTGCAGTTTCTCTGCCAGCTGTCAAACGGCTGTTGTGCTCTTCCCCAGAAGGAGATGCATTTTTCATGGTGAAAGTGTAAATTGAATGAAACACAAAAGTTTTGGGACTAAAAGCCAAATCTGTGCTAATGTCGTAGAATCAACATACCATTTGCCAGCAGCTGTTTTGCTCCTCTCTGCTCATTCTTCTCTTATTTTGCTTTACTTGCACAGGCTGCAAACTCCTCAAGCTAGAGACTATCTTGGCTATCTTGGCTATCTTGGAGCACGGGGCAGAATTAAGATTACACTGCACTACCCTGATGAAGAACAAACTCCTCAAGCTAGAGACTATCTTGTCTTATGTGGAGCACGGGGCAGAATTAAGATTCCACTGCACTACCCTGATGAAGAGAGCGTCAAAGCAGTCAAAGAGAAATTCCTAGTCAGAGAGCATCTCCAGAAGGGGAAGCAGTGGGATCCCCAAGACAGGGAAAGCTTTTCCCTTATATCAAAGTGTGACATATGAGGAGGGGATGTCTTTTGACAGTTCTGGAGGGTTAGAGAGCTCAAGCCCTGCTTCTGCCTCCTTCTTTGGGCTGTGCATTTTAAAAGTGGTTCAGCTGCTTTCCATTAAGGAGCTTGGTGATGGGCACGAGCCTGAGCAGACTCAGCAACAATCCCCTCGCTCTGTAAATGTTACTTTGCTGAGAATAATTCTCTGTTAATGCTGAACAGAAAACTCAGCACTTTCATGTGGTTGTGAGCAGGGTGATGGGGAGAGAGGTCTTTGTGAGAGCGCGTTGCTGTCAATAGAGCTTGGAAGGGAAACAAGATTCCAAACCGGCTGACGGGATCATCAGCAACAAAAACCTTTGTTGCTTTAGTGCATGATGAGTCGCTTCTGTCATCTGATCTGTTTGATTTTAGATTTGTAGAGCGTATTTGCGAGGATCTCGTGCACAAAGATCACAGTGCATCCTGTAGATGAGGCAAGCTCAGAAGAGCCTTGGTGTCCCCAGAGGCGGGATGGGAGTCGCGGTAGAATCCCCTATTTCTGTTTTCAGCTTTGGGGGTACACGATGAAAGCTGTCTGGGTGACAAGCAGGCAGAGCTGGGGTTCCTCTCGCCTCCTGCACGTTAGTGTTCAGCTTCTGCCGCCGGTGTGCAGGGCAGGACGTCCTTCCCATGGAAACTCTTTACACTTAGACATCTCCAGGGTTTCACTGGGGCCTCCTCTTCCATCTCCTGGTTGACAGACCCTCTGGGAGCCCCCACTCGTAATCCTTGGTCACAGACTGCAGAAGATACCGAACTGCACGTGCAGCTTCTCAAAGACCCTCTTGCAGGTTTTAGTTCTGCTGTCAGTGGTGATCAGGTAGAGGCTTTGAGCTAGTGCACGATGTTTCACTGTTCCCTTCTCTCCGGACAGCATCCTGAGCGCTCACCGCGTGGCCGACAGCTTCCACGCACGCTTCTCCGCATGCTCCAGGACCTACGTGTACCGGCTCCTGCTGGGCTGCTCCCATCACTCCGAAATCCCAGTGTTTGAAAGGGATCTCTGCTGGGCTCCGGCAGGAGGGCAAGTATTTCCTTATATCTCCTCATTAATGCTCTGGAAAGGCTTGGCATTGTGGGGAGCAAGCAGAGAGTGATTTCCACACGTGAGACTGGATTTCCCATCTACACGGAGCAGATTTCTGTGTTGAAATCAGTGCAGTTGCACTGAGTTATGCTCAGAGAGACCTGAGGACTTTTTTATGGCATTCTGAGCTTTGCTCTTTGCTCTTTCCTCTGCCCCTTCCCTCACCTTGGGTTCGCACTGCATTCAGCTCTGACAGGGCTCAGTGCTGTCACTCTCATTTCCTATAGTACCAAGCTTAATCTTCCGGGTGTCACAAATTTGAAGTTTGGGAAACCATCATGGGGTTTGAGACCATCTTGCAAAACATGGAGGCTTCCTTCACGTCAAATCTGTACGCTGGGATAAGCAGCTCCTCACTGGCCCGGACTTCAGCCCCCACATGGTGCCTGGCCGCCCCTCACGGTCCTTTCCCTGTGCTCTGCACGTCCCGTCGCAGCTCCCTGGACGTGCCGGCCATGCAGGACGCAGCAGGGTTCCTGCTGGGCACCCACGACTTCAGCACCTTCCGCTCGCTCAGCTCGGAAACACCCCTCAAGTCTCCGGTGAGAACCATCCTCCAGGCAGACATCCGACCCTCCGCTGGCCTCCTGTCCCACCACTATGAGTACAGGTGGGATTCCCTTTTTCCTGCTGCTGCCCAAGCCTTTCCTGAAGGCTGCGTGCAGGAGAAAAGAACGTGCAAGGCCTGGCTGATTCTGATACTCAAACCCATTCAGTTCACACCAACAAATCCTGCTGCCATCCCTGGGGATGCTGGTGAAGCCAAGTCCAATATTCCTCAATTATTATATAAATATCATTCAGTGTTAGGTTCATCCAGCACCACATCTTGTATTGAAATTAAGGGGCTGGATATATTCACTCTCTTAGCACAAACTGAATTATTCTTTTTTTCTGGAAAGATCGATATTTATCATCTGAACATGGATGAGAATCCATGGAGAGGAGACCTAAAAACTGGATCAAAGGCATCCAACTAGCTGCTGGCAGACTATTTTTGCTGAGGCCTCATGACACATGCTGCCAAACTGCTGTTTTTATAACAGGAGTCATCGTTATGATGTGCAGATATTGAATGAGTTGATTTAATGAATTCTTAGGTTGCAGGGGTCAGCTTAAAGAAGCCTAACTTCAGTGCATTTAAATGGCACTGAGGTATAATCCATTCCGTAATTCCCTTAGAATCCTTCGAGGCTGTTATTAAAACCTTAACCAAAACCATGAATTCTCTGGTCTAGAGAATAAAGTTCTGGGATTTGTGTGTGTGTGGCGGGCCAGGTTTTGCTGCTGTTGTTTTTTATCACATCCTGTTGCAGTGAATCTGTAAATCATTCCGTGTGGGGACAGTTGCAGTCGTAACGCCTGGAAATGCTTTTGCAAATTCTGCAACTACAACAGCAAATATACACACATCCCCAGGGAACTGCACAGACTTCTGAGGGCATTTTACATCAGACACCAAAGATTGCAACTTATTATTCATTCTACTCACTTGCAGCTCACCTGTAACTTACACTTCTCTTGCAGGTGGAAGAGCCATCTGAGATGTGATCTTTTAAATGCATTTTTGCTTCTTTCTTTAGGGGACTGGAGTTTTGGGAGCTGGAGTTCAGGAGCAGATCGTTTCTCTACCGACAGGTAGTGTCGAGCGCTGTGTTGGGCGCGTGCTTTGTTTTCCAGGACCAAAGCAGCTACGTGCTGCTCAGTTAAGCAGGGCTCTGGGTTCAGAGCTGCTGTTGGAGCCCTTGACACCTCCCAGGGAACCAGTATCAGACAGGCCGGGTTCCTTATTCCCTCTTTGGCCCAGAATCTCTTAAGTCTGTGGCTCCAGTCAATTATTTTGGACACAGAATCCGATGGGAGGGTGGAAAGCATTGTTTGCTGCAAATTTATTGCCTTGTCTTTAAAATCTGAGGGGTGAAAACCAAGAGACATACATCCTCACCCTGCTGAATGACACTGGGCCCAGTGAAGACTACCCTGGAATTTTATTTCTCGCTTTGAAATACTCCAGTGAGGTTTTTACTGCTGTCCTCAGGGAAGACATCTGTGTCCACAACTTAAGAGATCACCTCATTAGGAAGAAGAATCCTGTTCTCGGGCTGCCTTCCTGGCCATGGCCACGCTCTGGAGATGGGGAATAGGCAAGAGGGCTGCTTGTTTTTCTGGACGAGAGAGAGGATTTTTTGTGGGAACAGCAAGCAGCTATTTTTTATTCTGTTTTGACAAACCAAATTTGTTCTCATCCTGTGCCAAGTAACGCTCTGCGCGCTCTGGCAGGCGGTGTCTGGACGTGAGCAAGGGAAGAACGGCAACGTGCTCGAGAAGGGCTCGATCCATCGCGGGGATTTGTCCCATCAGCTGTCCCGTTGACACGCAGAAAACACAGCAACCAGCTGTGTGTTCAGGCAGGAAACGCCACCTCGTGCCACGATGCAGAGAGGAGCAGTTAGGGGCAATAACGCTCAGCTCCAGCCAGCGCTCCCCACCGAATTTGGTTGCGCTGCCGGGGACATTAGGCTAGATTCACCCTTGATCTTGTCTCATAGCTGCTGTGTTTAGTGTCACTATTGGGATGAATTTTATAGGAGAAAGCGTTGAACAGCCCTAGTTGCGTGTATATGTTTTCTCCGAGTAACATGAAGCAGGGGGGAAGCAGCAGCCGCGTGGCTAGCTCGGATCCCATCACTAGCCAGCCGACGCGCTGGCAAATCCCGAGCGTGGAGACACCAAGGTGCACGTCAGTCCCAGCCCGCAATGACCTCTAGCGAGGGGCGGTAAAACAGCACGCGTCCCGGGGCTGTGGTTCTTTGTGCCATCAGAATTGCTCCAAGGGAAGGTTTTGACACTCCGCAGGGCAGTTTAGGAGAACACAGGGAGGCTAGTGCCTGTCTGCACATAAATTTGTTTCCTCCTGTCAGACCTTCTTGTTTTAACAGTGATAAACCTGACTGGTTGCCTAGTAAACCTTGACTTATTTTTTTGTAAATGTCAGTGGTTGGGAAGCGTGAGCAGTGCTGTAATGAAGCACTGCTCCAAGTCACGGAGCGTTTGCTAAGCTCTAAGCTTTTTTTCCTTTAACTCTTCTTTGAGAAGATGTAAATAGACCAAATGTTTCTTTAAGCTGAGCACTAACCATTAGCCTCTACGCAGACATGGGTAGGTCTGTGCTAGGAGCTCATACACATCAGTGGCATCTCGAGCAGGGGCTGAAGCCTTCTTTATGCTGCAGAAAGGTCCTGCTGGTGTAAAGTGCAGCACTGGGCACAGAATTCTCCATCCGTTCACTTTTATGAAGGCAGCACCTCGCTGTGTTCTTGTGTTCCAGGTCCGAAGAATGGCTGGGGCCCTTGTTGCCGTTGGCCAGGGGAAGTTATCACCTCGTCACATAAAAGAGTTATTGGAAAAAAGAGATTCCCAGGCTTTTCCACCTCATGCTATGGCTCCACCATCCGGCCTCTTCCTAAAATCTGTAGCATATAACGAAGCAGGTAGGTGAAGGCAGGGGATTGCAGGGGGTAGCTTTTCTTCTGTGAAAGTCAGACCCAACACTGAAGGAGCAGTAACTTTTGCTGTCTTGTAAATCCAACACAACACCAGTGTGTCCCATTAAAGGAAATAAATGCTATAGCAGTAATGCTCACTTGCTTTTGACTAGCAATATTCTGCAAAAGAGAGATCAAATTATTTTTCCGGCTCTCTTGGCACTACCATCTCCTTCAGCAATAGAAACACAGTCCCTTCTGTCAGCAGGTTTGAATAGTCCCATTCCTGCCTGCTTTGTCTCTAAGCAAACGTCTCTTTTCTTCTCTAGCCTCTGACTAATGCAGTGTCCATGACGTGGGTATGAGGGCTTTCCTGCTGCTGCTTCCTCTCTTCCAGGTTGCTCCCTCCGAGGCCAAGCACAGACCCAGGGGCTTGGAGCTCCCTCCTGCAGCTGCAGCTCACGCTGGGGCTCAGGTTGGGCACAAGGAAACCCCCAGAATTTCTGCGCTCGGGCTGCTGTGCTGCAGAGCCCTGGCCAGGCTGCGCGGGGCAGCTGCCACTTGCTGGGGTTGTCCCTGTGTTGGTGCCGCTGCCTGGAGGTGGCCGTGCCAGCAGGGAGGCAGCGCAGGCAGGAAACGAGGAGCGCAGCCTCCAAGTGCTTTCAGGTGGCCTTGGTGCCATTCTTGTCCCTAAATCAATGTCCTCCCTTTTCTCCCTCAGACTTGGAGACAGGAACGACGGCAGAATAGCGGCTCTGTGAGATGCAGCCCGGCCTGAAAGGCCCGTTGTGGACGCGGAAGGGACGTTTGCAGAGTGCTCTGTGCACAGTGTTTGGTCTTGTCTCAATAAACGTCGTTCACTGAGAATGAAGGCATCTTCCCCTCACTTGTTCTGACCCTCTGAGACTGCCAAGGGGAAATGAAGAACAACTTGATGCTGCTTTCAGATGTCTGCATTGTATTTTTTTTCTTCTCCTATATATATATTCTGGTGCAGGACCATCGCTCTCAAACAGGAAGAGAAAGGAGTCGACTTTGGGGCTTTTTGTTTTGTTTCATTTGCCGAGATGAGTGGGTAGATACTGACTTAGAATGAGAGAAAACGCAGCCTTTCCCTTTTGCCTCTTTGCTTGGTAACCTCTGCTGTGCGTGCAGCACAGCAGAAGGGACAGCAGCTACTATTTAATGTGGTCACTTACAGAAACAGCCTAAAAGTACTTGCCATTTCCTCTCCTCAGCAGCTGCTCTCTCTCCAAACCGCAGCAGCTCATACATTATTTTGGCCCTGGGAAATAAGTCATCCGTTGCTGTTAGGATGTGGATTGCTGCGAAGTTTCTTTGCTTTCACTTACACCCTATTTCATCTCCTGCAGGAGCAGGGCTCTCCCCAAGGTCAATAATCCCCGCGTGCCCTAACACCCCGTGAACAGCTGAATCAGGCAGTGATGAGGACACGGAGCGCAGTGAGCAGCAGGGGCAGAGGGCGGCTGTTGCCGGGCTCGTCCGCCTGTTGCCTCATTTTGCTGTCCGTAGTTGGTGCACGGTAGCACTGCAGAGCCCATCAGGTAGAGGATGGAGTCCAGGCAAGAGTTCTGGTGCTGTGGCCCGCAGCGCATAGCAAGGGAAGAAGGAACTTTTCTAAAAAGTTTTTGATCTCAAGTTTTGCCTGTTTGCCCAGGTGCCAAAATAAGCATCTCTATGGCACCCTTAGGCTGTGGGGACTGAGTTAGTGATTCCTCCTGATACAGAAAGGCACGGTCTCCTCCTAGGTATTCTCTGGTGAGATGATCTCCTCTCCACCCTGTTGCACACAGGCTTGCCAAAAGTTTGACAGCGAAGGAGAGGACATTTCTGCTTGCTTCTCTCCTGCAGAGCAGACCGGCTCCTACCTGCTTTACTTCAGGGCCAAATTCCCAAGATGATGACAGAACTTTGGAGTCCCAAGTCTCTGCCACAGAGAAGAGCAGCTGAAGCTGGTGTTGCACAGGAACCTGGTAGTGTCTGTTCCGTAAGCAACAGTGTTTCTCCATCCAGCTTCCCGACCTGCTGTGCCCCTGTTATTTTGGATGGCGTGCAGGGCTGGCAGATTGCTCACGGCTGCCCTGCCTCTCGGGAAGTGTGAGTGCAGCTACAGGCCCCTTTCAAAGTCCCTCCTGAAGCGCTGGAACGTGGCTCAGGAGAGGCAGGTCTCGCTCTGCAGGCAGCTGGATCCAGGGCAGCTCCGGTGGGACCTCTGTGCCACCCTGTCCCCGTGGGTGAAGCAGGGCTGCCGGGGGCTGTCCTGTCCCCCAGGTCCCCAGGAGGAGCCCTGCCCGCGCAGGGCAGCTGCTGTGTCTTCAATCCCAGGGCTGGCTTTCGTCGTGGCTTCCTGTGGTTTCTCGCTGCGAGGCGCTGGGGCAGCGTGGCTGGGGAGGCAGCTCCTGCGCAGCGCCGCTCGGCTCGGGGAAGCCGTCGAGACCAGCGCGCTCGTTGCAGCTTTCACAAGAGAAGACGTGACCTGAGATGCGGTAAGTTAACTTTCTGCCTAACTAAACTGCTTATGAGCCTTTACAACACAAAAGCTGAACCAAACAGTGACCAAGATGTTGATCAAACCATCTCCTAGTGCAGGCCTAGAGAGCAAAGCTCTTTTTCATTTCATAGATACAATACAAAACTATTTGCTATTGATATATTTTTGTTGAAAATATTTCCTGATTTCTGGTAACACCCAAAACCTGTTATGCTTACAGGCTTACTCTCAAATGCAGTAACTGAGAACCCAGACGCAGCAGTCTGGAAGTGGTGGCTCCTGCTCTCAGTTAGCACTGAGAACTCTTGGTTGGCTCATTCATTTTAAACACCAGAGCAGAGGTTAAAAATAATCCAGCAGGTGCATTATAGTATTAAGATAACAGACTACTTAAACACAGTGTCAGTGGAGAACTGCACAAACTCCTACTCTGCATTATTTTTCATTTCCTATAGTTAATACTTGAATGTTACCTGTCATCAAGGGGTACTTAACATTTTTTCCCTTACATTGTTGAATTATTGGTATTTTCAGTTGTTGCAATTTGGACTTGTAATACAGGGAGACTTCTGTCATTTCTTTCTGACTCCGATTTTAAAGCATCACTGTCAACCAAACCCAGAAAAATATCCTATGTGACCCAGAATGCCAAGACAAAAACTAGTTTTATATAAAAACATTTATACTAATTAAATGAACACAAATTCCAGGAAACTTTAAAAGATATGTTCCTTTCTGAATTCTTGTTAATGAAGTAACTTCATTCAGGAGCAGAGGGTTGATGATGCTTCTTCATTGTCTGGGAGAAGTGGAAGTAAAACAGGCAGGAAAAATACACAAAAACCCCCTGAAGAAGACACTGGGTTCACAACCTGGTAGGACGCCTTGTTTTTAGAGTGGTATGTAAGTGAATGGTGTGTTATTACAGTGCTGAAAATGAACATATGCTCAGAAAAGTCACATTTAATCCTAAAATGTGTTACTTTCATTATGTCAAAATGAAGTTATGACCAATATTTTAAAATGGATCAATGCACAATCTGGGGTCCTGCAATGCCAGTTTGGCTGTCTGGAATTTGGCAAACCACTTGGTCTGTTTAATCTCCTATCTATAACCTGGGGTTCTTTTAACTAGTTAGATAAACAACCTTGAGAATGAGGAGGAAGCGTGATTTCAGCGTTTCCTTCGGAAAGTACCTGCAGACAAGCTTCATTCTGCTTTCAGCAGCTCAGCTCCAGGAGCTCTGCACATACTGTGGGTGGGATTGTATTTTCCACTCTATGTAGGGCTTCTTTTTATGTGTTCATGTTCGGATTAATAGTTTAGATGTCTTTTGTAGCTGATGAAGGTAAAGAGGGAGCTGGAGTGCCGTTTACTGCTTGTGGATGTGGGTCACCTAAGTGATGTTCCCCTCTGCAAAGCACCTGGCCCTGGGGCGAGTGTAGAGTAGCTTTAGGATGCTGTAAATTCACACAACAGCTTACCCCCAAATGTCACTGCTTATGAACCTTAAGTGAGGAATAAAAGGGCATGGGGGGAGGATGGAAAAACTTCATCTGTCCTATTTCTGCTCGTTAGCCATCAGGTCTTTGGATGGCCTTTGGAGGTACCCCTATATCACATACAGCCTGCAAATGAATGTTTGTTGTGAGGGACCTGGCACATCCTGCCTAAAGAGGCCTGTCCTTAGCCACAACTCTTAACATTCTACATATACTTTTGGCAAAAGGCAAGGTGTTTCCATGCCCTTTATTTTTGCTACTTTTGTTAATTTGTCATCTTGTGCTAATTGCCAGTAAATAATCTGCCTGCTGGTGTGAAAACTTTAACTGTTCATGTTTTAAATGACTCATTCTGGCTTTCAGCCCCTCTGCTCTCCATTTACCTTCGCAAAGCACAGAAGTCTGAGGCACAGATTCCATCACAGCTAACATGGGAGATTTGTATCACTTTAGCTGTTGACCACTTGAAAGATGAACTAAATCCCCAAACTCAATGACCTTATGAGGTAAGAGGCATCTTAAGCCTTCTCTCCCATGTTGGATATCCCTGCAGCTCTCCTGCAACAGAAATCATGGCAAGTATTTCCTGGACTGAAGCAATCTCCAATGAGACAGCTGCCAACGACAGTTCAGCGTTCAGCATGGAAGCAAACTTCCAGTATCCCCTCTTCACTGTCATCTACAGCATTGTCTTTGTGCTGGGCCTCCTAGAAAACCTCTTAGCCCTGTACCTCTTGTCCTGCAGAGTCAAGCACCTCTCCCATTCCTACGTATACATGATCAACCTGGCCGTCGTAGACACCTTGTTTGTTTGTGTGTTGCCTTTTAAAATTCATTACCACCTGCACGAGAACCACTGGATCTTTGGTGACATGGCTTGCAGGGTCACAGGGGCTCTGTACTACATCAACATCTACCTCAGCATCGCCTTCTTCACCTGCATTTGTGTCGATCGCTACATCGCAGCGCTGCATCCCTTCACTTACATCCAGATCAAAGTCTCTCACTATGTGATGGTGGTCACAGTCCTGTGGATGGTAGCTCTAAGTGTCACAGTTTCACTCATCCTTGGAGGTCCCCTTCACAACAATGGCACAGAGAACAAAACAGCATGTTTTGAGAATTTCAGTACCTTTAGCTGGACTTACCGCATGGCATCTTACAACATCCTGGCCTTAGTTTTTGGTTTTGTGATCCCATTTTCCATCATTCTGATCAGCTACCCTCTCATAGCCAAGAGGATCTCCCAGATCAAACACAGCATTCGCAAGAGGAAAGCCCTGTGCACGATCTACATCATCTTGTTCATTTGCACCTTCTGCTTCCTCCCCTATCATCTCACTCACTTGCTCCACTTTCTAATGAGAATCCAGGTCATCCAGAACAAGCTGTTTACCAGCTTGATCTACAAAATGAGAAGGATCACCTTAGCTCTGGTCAGTCTGAACTGCTGCTTCAACCCGCTCCTATACTACTTCAGCTCTTCCACCAGGCACTGGCACTTCAACTTCAAGCTCAGATCCAGGTCTAAAATGGTCTACACGATCTGTGACCAGAAGTTCGGGAACTGCTCTTACACTTACAAGCTAGAACAGAGACAGGGAAATAAAAAGCATGGAGATGGAATCAACTGACCTAGTTTAAGTAAGTACAATATTCATCATTCCGACTGTCGCTTTGAAATCAAGTCTTGGAAAAGCAGCACTCTTCCACAGAGCATTCCCTTGATGTAATCACTGTAAGGAAATGCTTAACATATGTATTATTATTACTAGCCAATTAGGACTGTACTTGGGGAGCTGCATTTGTCTGTAGTCCTAGCTAGTATGTGGTAACACCATCTCGTGTACATGTACAATTGGGTTCCAGCCTCCTTTTGTTTTATTCTGAGTTTGGGAGGTGAACCCAGGGTTCCCTTCCGGAAACCAGGTTTACTTGAAAGAAACCAGCCCCCTAATTGACTGTAACACTGGAGGCTGGGTCGATCGGGATGCTCCTGCCTGCTTTTTCCCTTTTTTGGAAGGATCGTGTGTTTTCTCCCTGGGGGCAATCTCTATCCAGCTGGGGTTTCAAACTGCTTTCTGACTGTATTTCACAGCCAAATAAGGGCTTCTCATCTCTACTTCTGAATCAATTGATTGGCTTCATGGGGAGTATTTGAGTTCAGGCTTTCTAGCATCATATGCCTGTGGATTCAGGCTCAGCAGTGAATAACTGCTGAGTTTCAAAAGGTAATTAATAGATCCAAGTAATTCTCAGTCAGTTAATCCTATGTCCGTATAAAAGCTGCTCCCCTTCACTTGGGATCCTGCAGGACCTGTGATAAAGTCTCTCACTGAGGAAAGTTTGGTGGGAAGTGGCTGAACACGGTGCAGTTCATGTGTTAAAGCCCCTTTTCCCGGGATTGTGTTATATCACTCAGAATGTCTAACTTATTTCATCCCTTCTCTTGTGTTAACAGAACACCTAACTTCTGAGAACGGCTGAGTTTTCCACCTTCTGAACCTAAGACTATTTCATCATGGAAAGAATTCATCATTTACGGGTTATCAGAACAACCAGAAAGCCACTAACCTCGCTGAAGAACCTGCTTAAAAGCCAATGTTTACTTAAAGACATGATCTGGGTAACAGAGAGAGGGACTCACTGCTCTCGTCTGTCCCATGCCATGCACAGATATATAAAATACATATATATGTGATTGCTTCCTGGCATAAAAGAGAGCTGAGAGGATGAGAACATGGGGCTTGGTAAAGAGGAACAATGTGTCTAATGGTGGCAGTGCTAAATCAATATTTCAATTCAATGTGCAAAGCAGAGCAGAAGCCCTGCTCTGACCTTGCCCTCTGCAGCAGGTCACCAGGTGCCCAGTTTATGCTGTGCTGCTGGACCTGGAACACGAAATGACACGGATCTTAAGGAGATAGAGAGTGGGATTATGCATGCAGCAAGCAAAGCAAGAGTAGGTCTGAAATTACTGTAATATAACTACGGCTTTGTCATAGTGGCTTGTGTGTGTGTTATTAAATTTCTTAGCAATTACTCTTTAAATGTCTGTGAGAAAAGCTGCTTTACCTCTTAAAATACTGTTTATGGTGATTCTTGGGTTCCTTTGCTTGACTGGGCTTGGTAAGACCTTAGAGAATGTTTGTACTGAGAGCTTTGTACTGCTGTACTGTTAAACTATAAGTTTAAACTTATATTTTGCCTTTTAAATTCTGAAAAGGTTAGAGTAGCTTTTAAAGCTTCTTATTTTGACCCCATGGGCCTATTCCAGACTTTATACTCCCTGTAAGGCTATCACTGATACTAGCCTTGCATACACGTGAGCTGAACACTCCTGCTCACAAATCTGAAACCCTTCAAATGAGCTGTTTGAACCCAGCACAGAATCCCTGGAACAAGTTCAGGGCAGGGGTGCGTTTGGCATGTGGCTGTTGATATTACTCATTTTTATGAATAAAGAGAAGGCCTGGAGGTTGTACAGAAAAGGCCTTTTAGTATAGAAAGGCACGGTAAGGTTTTGAGGAAACTGGGCTGTGTAAGTAGAAGAATGCTGAGTATCTCTTACCTTACTGTGTAAGCAACTCAAACCTTGTTCCTCAGGGCTCTTTAAAACAGGCTGCAGTGACTCAGGGACAGGCTGCTAGGGAAGACGACTGCAGCACTAACCAGCAGTCCCATGTACACTCTCACTGCGGGTATTGGACAAACATTTTAATTCCTGTATTAAAATGAAACCAGCAACCTGGAGATACTATGTCTATCCTTAGTTTTCCATTTATGACAATGTAACAAAATAAAATCTATCTTTGAAGCACCACGGTGCCTGCTGCTGCTCTGTAGCTCAAGCTGTACTCTGTGGCAGTCCTTTTTTGAGCAGGGATGTGAGATAGCTGCCTAGCTCTTCATCCTAAAGAAATGAAAGAGAAACAAGCTGAAAACAACATTTCATTTGACTGTTCCAGTTGTAACAAGAAGTTAAGATTCTGCTGCCTAGAAATAGAGTGAAATAATTCTTGGAGCCAGCAAAATTTAATGTCAGCAGTGTTCAAAAATGGAAATCAATTCAGTTAGCACAAACCTAGTTCTGGGTTTTCTTTCAAAGTATCAGTGTAAAAATCCCTTTTGTCAAAGAAGTTTCTTGGACCTCTCTGAAGTCTCTTTGGAAGCAAGGAATTAAGAACTATTTATTTTTGCTTTGTGATTCCCTTCTTGTAGAAAACATTTAAATAAATACAGACGTTAAAAATATTCTCTTGAAAGCAAGCAAATATAACTACTACATCTAATTTTAGCACAATTCTGCTTTAAGTAGTTTTTTGCTTGTTGTTTAAGTTTCACACCTACCTTACAGAACACTCTACACTGTGTGGCAGCAGTGACACAGCTGAGAGTTAGAAGCTCTTTACTATGGTGTCCTCAAAACACAGATATTATTATGTTACTCAATTATTGCTCCAAACCAGGTGCCTTTAGTTAAGTAGTCTGAGAGAAAACAGACTCAATTGTAAAAAGATTTGTATTACAGCTAAAATGAAATAAAGAAAATGGCAGGAGCTCACTCTGGCTCTTTTCAAACTATGTCAAGAAATAAGTTTTCATCCCTCTCAGCAGTAATCCACTCTGCAGGTCACCTCAAAACGCCAGTTAAGACCAGTTGGAGTTGCTTGAAAAGTGTTTTAAGTGTTCCTACCTGGTACGTCCAGGATACGAGCAAGACTTTTGTTCCTTGATCCTCTGAGTGTGCTGTAGCTTGGATAAGAATGGACTCTACAGTTATAGAACCATCAGGGAGATGCTGGACTGAATAGTCTTTCAAGATCCTGTTAAAAGAAGGTATATAACTTATTTTGGAAGGGATAAACACTAGTTGAAGGGTGGGTGGCTCTCAGTCTTGGAATCCCAATAGTCAGGTGTTGTTACTTTCTTTAACTGCATCTCTGAGACAGGCAGTGGTCATAAGACAGTCAGACATCTGCTGGGGGGTTCCATTTTGGGCCTTCCTGACAGCTAGAGCTCCAGTCTGACAACCTAGTCATATCAGCAAAGCAGTACTCTTGGACTAGACCTTTAGGACATGAATATTTTTAAGTTTCAACTGCTAACTTCAGTTAGAAGCTGCAGTGACAGCAGCAAACCCCCAGGAAAGGTTTCAGCAGGCCTGCAAAAGCTTGACAAAGACCAGCCTCTGCTACAACAGCACAACTGCTCTTGTTATTTAGCTGAAGAGACTGAAATCCAGGGCAGCTGAATTTTCTGAGCTGCAAATTCCCTCAGTGGGGCAAGTTTTCTTGACTATAGAGCTGTTCTGCAAAGGCAGGAAGGAGGGGGGCACTTGTGCTTGCTCTATTAAGAATAAGAGGCCCTAGTTCACGGCGGCAGGAAAGGCCAGGAAAGGCAGGAAAGGAGCTAGGAAGAGCCTTACGCTTTGAGGTGGTTGTACACGCGGAGCCCGGTCTCGTGTTCCTTCCGCGGATCCTGGATGTGAACGCGGCAGGTGAAACGCAGCTGGTGTTCTGCAAGGCCCAGCTCCTTCAGCGCCTGCTCTGGAGAAACCAGGCGGAAGCTCTGGAGAGGAAAGGTACAAATCGTTGGAAGCTACTGCTTTTTGCCCCTTCTTCTGAAGTTTTATGCCTCCTATGTGGCCAGATACCCAGATAAATGGTCACACAGCAAGATCTAATTCTAAAGTTGTGGGACTGAGAGGAACTGTCTCTCAAACAGGCCACTGACCATCTGGAGAGTCTTTCTTACAGACTAATCCATCTCACAGGCCTGCAGGATCAGCTCTTGCTGTGGCTCCTTCCAAGAAATTTGGGCTACATATGTTTAATTTGGTTCTTTTTTCACTTACACCTTGCTTGTGAATGACAACTGACTCATGCAGAGGGCAATAAGACAAGGGCAAGAACTTTTTTACTTACGTTATCCTTCATAATTAACGTGCCATGCATGAGCTTTGGCTTCTTGGCATCGGGTAACAGACCTAAACCAAAGGAAGATGACAACAGGGTTAATGGTACTGTGCCTACTTTTTACACCTCTAACATTACTTTAGGATTTAAGAGATTCGGCTTTCGAACGGAATAAGGGTTGTACATCATTCCACTGAGGGGTATGATGCATTCAGAGACTATGATTTTACATGTTTATTCTCCTGTTACTTTAAAAAAAAAAAAAAAGTAGCCAGTACTTAAACCACTAGCAATCAGTGCTCTAGAAGCATGAAAAACAATGCTCAGTAATCCAAAATAACTGCCTCTCTTTCCTCTTTTACTTCTTGATTTGAGAAATTTTGTATTTTTTCTTAAATTGGGTTAAAAGCAATTTCAGCTTTCACAGAACTAGATTGTAAAAGCATACATGGACTCTGTTTATGTAATGAACAGGTAATAGATAGCAAAGCAGTTTAAGAAAACCGCAAAAGGGCCCAAAAGGTGAAAATCTCTGTTGAAAGTGCCTCACCTATTGCTGTTTCTCTCTTCAGGAGTCCCAGGGATATGTCCACGGGAATGCAGGGATTGGTGAATATTGTTGTTGTCTCTCCATTTGCAGGCATGTAGCAGTTCACATCTGCAGCAGAAACAGCCAGTGTTGGAAAGACTTAAAGGGATCGACTGAAACTCAAAATTGGGATTTCCAAGGGGCTGGAGAGCAGATTTTCTGCAGGAGCCAAGGCCTGACATCCTCCCCTGTACTGTCAAGAACTCCACAGCACTAACCACAAATAGCCCTGGCTCTTTTTAGACCCCTCACACAGAAGGCAACGTAGACACTTCCAGAAAAGCATCAGTAGCTACTGACTCAGCTCTGCTTAACTGGCAAACCTGCCCAGGAGGGGGAACAAGATCACTGGCTGCTATAGAAATATTTGCAACCTGATGTGCCTAACGAGTTACTGCAAAGAAATTTACAGCCAGTAAGTAAACATCCACTGTAAATTCTGTCCTTTCTCCACTCATCTTTTAAGAGGTAGCTGTTTTTTAGGAGTTCATTTTTTTATTTTGGAGGTCATTCCTAGTAACTGAAGTTACTTAGATGTTTTTCCCCTTGCTTGTCTCTGCTTCTTTTAGGAGTCCAAGGGAATATAAATGCAGTAAATGCTGGACTAAAACAACACAAACATACCCAGCCACTTAATTGTTCTTAGAAACTTTTTAAAAATAAAAATATCAAGTGCTTAGGCATAAAGTGTGTGATCCCAAAGCCTTTCTCCTGCTGCCATCCTCTCCCCAGTACCACAAGTGTAACATACGAAATTCCTGCTCGATTTTCTGCTTCAGGAACTCCATTTTCTTCGCTTCACCATGGACCAGGAGAACATTGCGTGGCTCTGCCTGGCGAATGAGCTGCATTATCCCCTTGGCATCAGCATGGGCACTGAAGGACATGTACTCCACCTGCATCTTCACCTCCAGCTGCAGGGGGGCAAAAAACCACAGGTTTTCTGCATCTGGAAACACCTAGACCCGCTAACAGCTTATAAACTGCACAGGAATAGACCCAGACCTCTCCAAATTTGTTTCAGAGAAGGCAGCAGATACTAAATTAGAAAATGAGGTTGGCAAGACAGCTGCTTAGAACACTTACTACCAGTTTTAATATCCCCTTATTAAACAGCATTGTAAGTAGTCCACCACCAAAGTCTAAAAGCATGCATCCAGTGAATTACAAAGCAATGGGAAGCCAGGAAGACACATGCTGTTCCCAAAATACAGGAAAAAATAAATAAATGGCCCAACTCTGATGAAAACGTTACTTGAATATTTTCACTGCATATTCACATTACGAGTACGCAGCATCTTAATAACCACATGAAGTTGTAAACAGCCTCCCCAGAATGATCCTCCTTGCTGAGGAGAAAACTCACTATTTGTCGTCCTTCCATTTCCAGCTTGCGCTGCCCACTCAGAATCTTATGGCCTACAGTTCCTTGCACACAGTAGCCTGGCATGATGACCTGAGGAGAAAACCAGAAAAGTCTGCAAACTGCACGTGAACACATGTGTAGGGTAGTTGTTAACAACAGAGT